TTACTCACTCAGACCAAGGTCCTTTCCTAAAACACTGTTGACAGATAAATAACTTCAGAGGGTGGGACCTAGTAAAAGCCTATCAAAAGGTATATCAAATCAGAAAGAGCAGTAAGTTTTGTAGGTCTGAGAGTGCTTTACTCCTTCTCGAGCCTTAGCCAAATTCCAGCTCTTCCTGATCATATGTCACAGTTCCAAGTGCAGCAACCTAAGCAGTTCATAGGGCTCTCTTTAGATAAGAGGTTTAGAAGTGATGTTGTGATCCATCCTACCCTATACCACCATAAATGTACTTTGGAAGAAACAACCAATATATGCTTGAGGCTTGTCTATGATATGTAACACCAAAGCTAAAGTGAGATTAACATCCATGTAGATGCAGAATTAGTAAGTTAATGTATTGTTTTCTGAAGTAGGTAATGTTGGCCTAAAAAACTGGTGAGTCTCTATAAAGCCAGTGGGAGAATGAGTAGATATATCAGGGAATATAACACTTGCCCTAGGGGTAAGGTTTTAGGTCTGCCTCCGAGAGTACTCTGTGCACAACTCTCTCACGTAGACAGGAGTGCTGGGGGTGAAGGTGTAATAGGGAAATAAGCTACACAAAAGGTTTGGAATGTGTTTCTTGAGGCTGTGAAATTTATGCTGAACTTGTGTGGCTGAAGAAAGGGGAGTTAGTGGGGAGGTTACTCACTCAGACCAAGGTCCTTTCCTAAAACACTGTTGACAGATATATATACTGTTGGAAGAAACAACCAATATATGCTTGAGGCTTGTCTATGATATGTAACACCAATGCTAAAGTGAGATTAACGTCCATGTAGATACAGAATTAGTAAGTTAATGTATTGTTTTCTGAAGTAGGTAATGTTGGCCTAAAAAACTAGTGAGTCTCTATAAAGCTTCCATTACCTGAATCCCACCTCTACACACCTTACGTATTTGGTGAGATCAGAGTGGCCTTCCAAAAATGATATTCAACAGTCAGGCTTCTGAGGTCCCTCATACCATTCTTGCCGCCGTATCTTCTTCTGAATGCACACCAGAACTAACTAGTTAGCCTAAATTAAGACAGCATCTTATCCCTTTCAAAAATATGGGGAAATATAGTTGGTATTGAAGTGAAAGATCTACCAATGTAGACAGGTTGCCAGAATCTGGAAGCCACTGTGGAGTTGACTTCGGAGAATTGTCACCAGTAGTAATATGGCCTAAAAGATTGTACTCTCAATAAATGTATGAAGTTATATTCTTTAGGGAAACAGTGGCACAATTATTTTTATTTTGGTGCAAGGAATTTCTGATACATTTAAGACCATTTACAAGGAAAGAGTCCATACTTGGTATTTTCAGCCAATGCTCAGTCATTGACTTGAGAAGCCATACGTTCTAGAGAGGACTTAAAAGAGTTTTTCTGTTAAATATATCTGATGTATTTCAAACTGACTTTGAAATATCTAAATTATGCATGTAGATTATTATACCTGTCAGGTTAATTTATAGAAAATCACTCTTCACAGCAGTCAGTGACTACTGGCAGAGATTCAGAATAACACTGTATATACTTTACTAATGCTGGGCATAGTGGTCAAATATTCAATAAAGACTCCCTCTCTTTCCACAAACATTATGAAAGAGATGATAGAAAACCTACAAGAGTCTAAGGAAGAGGAAGTGATTATGAACAATTTTCTTCTGGTCTGACATGAGTATCCATCATCAGGCACTGAGATGACTTCACAGATATCCAAAATATCTTGGACAGGAAGCAACACGTAGGAACAAGCAGAAAGAAATCCTCCAGAAACAGATAAGAAGGAGATAATAAAACTGTTGATATTACCTGGAGATAGATAGACATGTTTCACATATGAACATGACTTCTTGCTGTCATATGGCTCTGCATGCCCTTGGGGCTATCTACTAGAAATTTAAGTAGGAGGAAACTACCAAAAGCATGACTCCAGTGAAGCCCCTCTCCAGATTCAGCACTCATCCTGCTTGGGACCTCTTCAATGATGGAGTTGCCATTGAGTCAACTTAACTTCTGTAAGTGAATTCTCCCTTATGTCTCTCTGTGTTAAAAGATCCTGTTAAGTTGTTCACTGATTTTTATTCTTAGGAATATTTGATGTTTAATGTGACATGAAGAGATATTTGTTCATAGTTTACCAATAGTAAAACTCTGTGTAAACTTTCTCATATCTTTTAATATTATTTTTTGAAAGCAACTGTACAAGAGCACAAGAGATAATTGTATAAGAAGTTTCAACATCCTTTAGCTTGAGACATGTTGCAGTTTTGAAGATAGCCTGACTTTTCTCTACTAAAGTGAGAGAAGGAGGAGGAAAGTGGAGGAGAAAGTGTTACTGGTATCCAATGAGTAGAAATGACAGGGATCATTAAGCATTTCCCAATGCATAACATACCTTCCAGAAAAAAATGATACAGTACAAAAGGAGATTTGAGATTTACAAAATTAGAAAATATTGAGGCTGTAAAGATCAGTGGGTCCAACTCATCTTATCTCAAGGCAGAAGAAACAAAATTTTGGTAGTCAGTATTGTTTATTAGTTTTCTTATGGGAAAAAAATCTGAACAAGCTTTACATTCTGAAAACTGAAGTAGAGAAAGATGGCAGATTGTGCCTTATAGGTTTTTAGTTTAGGCAATGCCAAATGGTATCACAAAAAGAAGAGCTGACAAAGCACTATACTTTGTAGGAAATACTTGCTGGAAAAAAAGATGACAACAAAAATATTTTGAATGAAATAAGACGACATTTTATGTTTTGATATTTTTTTAGAATGTCATTCATAAATATTGTATATCACTCATCTAACTCTCCAAAACCCCTTTTCCATGGTCTTTCTCAAGTTCAGGGCCTTCTGAAAAAAATCATTATTGTTACATAAATAGATACATATCAACATATAAACAACATGCTTAACCCATTTGGTGTTGCTCATATGCCTATGACTTTAAGCCAGATTACTAGGTATTGAATAATAAAATAAATGGTCTGGACTTCTGGCTCTTATATTCATTCTTCCCCTTACTCTAAGACTTTCCTGCAGCCTTACATGTAAGTCTCCTGTTGCGGTGCCTAATGAGTAGCAAATTTGAGGTTGAAGAAAGCCTGATCAATGCCAAAATTTTAAAAGTAACTGGTTTAGGGAGAAAAGAAAGTAGATCAGATTGAGGTTTTGGGTGGAAAGATGTGTGGTGTTCCCTCCATGACAATGTGACAGATAAAGAAATGAAGTTTGGTATTCACATATTACATTGGGAATAGTATACCATTAGGAAAATCATTTGACTATGTAGGCCTTCTTCTCCATTAATATATTCAGATTACAATTGTGATAATCTAATCTGCTCATTAAAATTATTATTAAGAAAAGAAAATAATCTGAGGCTTGTGATGAAATGGTACTCTTTTAAAGTATTATCATGAGTTAGCAATTCTGAACTGACATATATTAAGACAGCATTATTTTTTTTGAGTTTTTTTTCTTTTTTTTTGAATTTTATTTTTTTTTCTTATCAGTTACATTTTATTAACTCTGTATCCCAGCCGTGTCCCGATCCATCATTCCCTCCCAGTCCCTCCCTCCCTCCCTCCTTTCCACCGTGCCCCTTGCCAAGTCCACTAATAGGGGGGACCTCCTCCCCATTCATCTGATCCTGTCTTATCAGGTATCTTCAGGACTGGCTGCAAAGCTCTCCTATGTGGCCTAACAGGACTGCTCCTCCCTTGGGGGGTGGGGAGGCCAAAGAGCCACTCATTGAGTTTCTGTTAGAAATGGTCCTTGTTCCCCTCACTATGGGAAACCAATTGGTTACTGAGCTACCACAGGCTACATCTGAGCAGAGGTTCTAGGTTACATTCATACATGGTCCTTGGTTGCATGTCAGTCTCAGAAAAGACCCTGTGCCCAGATATGTTTGGTCCTTGTGGAGCTCCTATCCTTTCCTCATCAGACTAACTCCCCTTCTTTCTTATGATTCCCTGTACTCTGCCAAAAGTTTGGTGATGAGTCTTTCCTTTGAAAACACTGCTAGTTAGAGTCTTTCAAATGCGCTCAGTAGACTCCTGTCATATGTTCAATGGGCATCCCATCTGTCTTTCTAAACGAGGATTGATAATCTTACTCCATGTCTGCTCTCTTGATTATCTTTTTTAGGTATATAGATTTCATTATGTTTATCATATCTTATAGGTCTATATAAGTGAGTATACACCGTGTTTGTCTTTCTCCTTCTGGGATATTTCACTCAGGATGATCTTTTCTAGATCCCACCATTTGTCTGCAAATTTCATGATTTCCTTTCTTTGATTGCTGAGTAGTATTCTATTGTGTAAAAATACCACAATTTCTGTACCCATTCCTCCGTTGAGGGACATCTGGGTTGTTTCCAGGTACTGGCTGTTACAAATAATGCTGCTATAAACATGTTTGAGCAAATATCCCTTTTGTGTACTTGAGCAAACTTTGGGTATATACCTAGCAGTGGTATAGCTGGGTCTTGAGGAAGCACTATTCCTAATTGTCTTAGAAAGTGCCAGATAGATTTCCAGAGTGGTTGTACCAGTTTACATTCCCACCAGCAGTGGAGGAGGGTTCCCCTTTCTCCACAACCTCTCCAGCATGTGTTGTCTCTTGAGTTTTTCATCTTGACCATTCTGATGGGTGTAAGATGATATCTCAGGGTCGTTTTGATTTGCATTTCCCTGATGGCTAATGAGGATGAGCATTTCTTTAAGTGTTTCTCTGCCATTCGATATTCCTCTGTCGAGAATTCTGTTTAGCTCTGTTCCCCATTTTTTAATTAGATTACTTGGTTTGCTGCTTTTCAGCTTCTTTAGTTCTTTGTATATACTGGATATTAGTCCTCTGTCAGATAAAGGGTTAGTGAAGATTCTTTCCCAATCTGTAGGCAGGCGTTTTGTTTTGATGACAGTGTCCTTTGCTTTACAGAAGCTTTTCAGTTTCATGAGGTCCCATTTATTGATTGTTGCTCTTAGAGCCTGTGCTGTTGGTGTCTGTTCAGGAAGTTGTCTCCTGTGTCAATGAGTTCTAGGTTGTTCCCCACTTTTTCTTCTAACAGATTTAGAGTATCTGGTTTTATGTTGAGGTCTTTGATCAACTTGGACTTTAGTTTTGTACAGGGTGATAAATATAGGTCTATTTTCATTTTTCTGCATGTGGACATCCAGTTGGACCAGCACCATTTGTTGAAGATGCTGTCTTTTTTCCATTGAATGGTTTTGACTTCTTTGTCAAAAATCGAGTTTTCATAGGTGTGTGGGTTTATTTCTGGGTCTTCTATGCGGTTCCATTGATCCTCCTTTCTGTATTTATGCCAATACCATGCAGTTTTTATTACTATTTCTCTGTAGTACAACTTGAGATTGGGGATAGAGATACCTCCAGATGATCTGTTGTTGTACAGGATTGTTTTGGAGATTCTGGGTTTTTTGTTTCTCCATATGAAGCTGTGAATCTTTTTTTCAAGGTCTGTAAAGAATTGAGTTGGTATTTTGATGGGAATTGCATTGAATCTGTAGATTGCTTTTGGCAGGATGGCCATTTTCACAATGTTAATCCTACCAATCCATGAGCACGGGAGATCTTTCCATCTTCTGAGATCTTCTTCAATTTCTTTCTTCAGAGACTTGAAGTTTTTCTCAAACAGGTCTTTCACTTGCTTGGTTAGTGTCACCCCAAGGTACTTTATGTTATTAGTGGCTATTGTGAAGTGTGTTGTTTCCCTAATTTCTTTCTCGGCCCTTTTGTCTTTGGTATACAGGAGGGCTTCTGATTTTTTTGAGTTGATTTTGTATCCTGCCTCTTTGCTGAAGGTGTTTATCAGCTGGAGGAGTTCTCTGGTTGAATTTTTGGGGTCGCTCATATATACTATCATATCATCTGCGAAGAGTGATACTTTGACCTCTTCCTTTCCGATTTGTATCCCCTTGATCTCCTTTAGTTGTCTTATTGTTCTGGCTAGGACTTCAAGTACTATGTTGAAGAGGTAGGGAGAGAGTGGGCAGCCTTGTCTTGTCCCTGATTTCAGTGGGATTGATTTAAGTTTCTCTCCATTGAGTTTGATGTTGGCTATAGGCTTGCTGTATATTGCCTTTACTATGTTTAGATATGTGCCTTGTATTCCTGATCTCTCCAAGACTTTAAACATGAATGGGTGTTGGATTTTGTCAAATGCTTTTTCATCATCTAAGGAGATGATCATGTGGTTTTTCTCCTTCAGTTTGTTTATGTGTTGGATTACATTGATGGATTTCCGTATGTTGAACCACCCTTGCATGCCTGGGATGAAGCCTACTTGGTCGTGGTAGATGATATCTTTGATGTGTTCTTGGATTTGGTGTGCAAGTATTTTATTGAGTATTTTTGCGTCAATGTTCATAAGAGAGATAGGTCTGAAGTTCTCTTTTTTTGTTGGGTCTTTGTGTTGTTTAGGTATCAGGGTGACTGTTGCTTCATAGAATGAGTTTGGTAATGTACCTTCTGTTTCTATTTTGTGGAATGGTTTGAGGAGAATTGGTGTGAGCACTTCTTTGAAGGTCTGGTAAAATTCCGCGCTGAAACCATCTGACCCAGGGCTTTTTTTGAAGGGGAGACTGTGAATGACTGCTTCAATTTCCTTGGGGGATATAGGTCTGTTCAGTCTTTCTACCTGATCTTGACTTAATGTTGGAAGATGGAATCTATCAAGAAAATTGTCCATTTCATTTAGGTTTTCAAATTTTGTGGCATATAGGCTTTTGTAGTATGACCTAGTGATTGTTTGAATTTCCTTTGTGTCTGTAGTTATGTCACCCTTTTCATCTCTGATTTTGTTGATTTGGATAGATTCTCTCTGCTTTTTAGTTAGTTTGGCTAAGGGTTTGTCTATCTTGTTGATTTTCTCAAAGAACCAGCTTTTTGTTTCATTGATTCTTTGAATAGTTTTATTTGTTTCTAATTGATTGATTTCAGCCCTGAGTTTGATTATTTCCAGCCTTCTGCTCCTCTTGGGTGTATCTGCTTCTTTTTTTTCTAGGGTTTTCAGTTGGGCCATTAAGTTGTTTGTATGTGATGTTACAAATTTCTTCTTGCAGGCACTTAGTGCTATAAATTTTCCCCTGAGCACTGCTTTCAATGTGTCCCATAAATTTGGGTATGTTGTGCCTTCATTTTCATTGAATTCTAGGAAGTCTTTAATTTCTTTCTTTATTTCTTCCTTAACCCAGCTGTCGTTGAGTAACAAGTTGTTCAGTTTCCATGTGCAAGTAGGCTGTTTGTTATTTCTGTTGTTGTTGAGGTCCAGCTTAAGTCCATGGTGGTCAGATAGAATACAAGGGATTATTTCAATCTTTTTGTATCTGTTGAGGCTTGCTTTATGACCAACTATATGGTCTATTTTGGAGAAGGTTCCATGCGGTGCTGAAAAGAAGGTATACTCTTTTGAGTTTGGATGAAAAGATCTGTAGACGTCTATTAGGTCCATTTGATTTAGGGTCTCTGTAAGTGTTTTTATTTCCCTATTTGTTTTCTGTTTAGCTGATCTGTCCCTTGGTGAGAGTGGAGTGTTGAAGTCTCCCACTATTAGGGTTTTAGCATCAATGTGTGATTTAAGCTTTAATATTATTTCATTTATGAATGTAGGTGCTCTTGTATTTGGGGCATAGATATTCAAAATTGTGATGTCCTCTTGGTGGATTTTTCCTTTGATGAGAATATAGTGGCCGTCCTTATCTTTTTTGATTAACTTGGGTTGAAAGTCTATTTTATTAGATATTAGGATGGCTACTCCCGCTTGTTTTCTGGAACCATTTGCTTGAAAGACATTTTTCCAACCCTTCACTCTGAGGTAGTGTTTATCTTTGTTGCATAGGTGTGTTTCTTGGATGCAACAGAATGATGGATCCTGTTTCCGCAACCATTCTGTTTGTCTGTGTCTTTTAATTGGGGAGTTGAGTCCGTTGATGTTGATAGAAACTAGTGACCAACAATTGTTACTTACTTTAGATGTGGTGTTGGTGGTGTCACTGAGTTTCATTGATTGTCTTCTTTTTTTTGTTATTGTTGTGTAGTTATCTATTTCCTCTGTTTCCTTCGATGTAGTTGTTTTCTTTGGTTTGGAGTTTCCCTTCTAGTAACTTCTGTAGAGCTGGGTTATTATGTAGATATTGTTTAAATTTGGTTTTGTCTTGGAATATCTTGAATTCTTCGTCCATGTTGATTGAAACTTTTGCTGGGTATAGTATTCTGGGTTGGACTCTGTGGTCCCTTAAGGACTGTATGATTTCTGTCCAGGCCCTTCTGGCTTTCATAGTTTCTGTTGAGAAATCTGGTGTGATTCTGATAGGTCTACCTTCATATGTTACTTGGCTTTTTTCCATTGCTGCTTTTAGAATTTTTTCTTTGTTTTGTAGGTTCAGTGTTTTGACTATGATGTGACATGAAGAATTTCTTTTCTGGTCTAGTCTACTTGGTGTTCTGTAGGCCTCTTGTATGTTTATGGCCATCTCCTTCTTTAAGTTGGGAAAGTTTTCTTCTATAATTTTCTTGAAAATATTTTCTGGACCTTTGAGCCTGATGTCTTCTTTTTCTTCTACTCCTGTTATTCTTAGCTTTTGTCTTTTCATGGTTTCCTTGATTTCTTGGATGTTTTGTGTTTGGAACTTTGCTGATTTTATTTTTTCTTTGAGAGACGTGTCAATTTCCGCAAGTGTATCTTCGGCTCCTGAGATTCTTTCTTCCATCTCTTGTATTCTGTTGGTGATGCTTACCTTTGTAGTGCCTGATCTTTTCTCTATGTTCTCCAGCTCTTGGTTTTTCTCTATTTGTGTTTTCTTTATTGATTCTAATTCTGTTTTCATGTCTTGCACCATTTCCTTCATCTCTTTGAATGTGGACTCCTGCTTTTCAATGATAACTTCTATATTTTTGTCCATTTCCTCTCTATGTATCACTAATTGTGCCTCTACTTCTTTGGGTATCATTGCCTGTATTTCTATGAGAGCTTTGTTTATTTCTTCATTTGCCTCATTTGTGTGGACATTTCTTTGAGAGCTTTGTGCATTTCTTCTCTGTTTGCCTCAATTTTCGTGGTCATTTCTCTGAGAGCACGATTTGTTTCCTCTTGGTTAGTCTCAATTTCTTTGGTTATTTCTCTGAGGGCTCTGTTCATTTCATGTCTATGGGCTTCTAATAGTTGGAGAAACATAGTTTTGAGGTCGTTTTCTTGTATATCTAGTGAATTGAAGTGTCCATTGTTTTGTGGGGTTGCTGGTGAGGTCATTATGTCCTGATTTTTGTTGGGAGTGTTCTTAAGTCTGCCTCTAGCCATCTGGTTATTTATAATCCTCACTGGTTGTTCCTGGAGATTGTAGTTTGGGCTATGATCCTCTCTTTCTGTTTCTGGACTTTTTTTTTCAGGAAGATGAGAGAGGTTCACTGCCTTGGGAGTGTGCACTGTGTTTTCAGTTTTGCCTAAGTAAGGAATGTGACGCTGGCGCTATTCGGGTGCGCTTTTAGCGGGCGCAGTGTGCATGCGCGGATTCTCTGAATATTGCAGTGGCCTGCAAGCCACTATTACACAGCTCTGACTGAGATCCAGGGATTGTTTGCCTGGATTGCCCTGGTGGACCCGCAAGGCAGAAGCTTCAATGTTGGGGTCGCTATCCCAAGAATCCCTATGATGCCCACACTAGGGGTGTGGGTGGCAGGGATCTCATCTGGTTGCTTCTGTGGAGAGGCCCTGGGTCTGGGGCAATCTCTCCCTAGAAGGCTCACTCACTCTCTTGTAGGACCAGTTGGAATGCACAGGGGTTCCCCTTGCTCACTACTGTTTTGGTCCTGCTGCGGAAGTGCACAGGTAGGCTAACAGTCAGCTCTGTGACACTGTGGCCGCAGGACTTGGTGTCCACCTTTCCTGTGTGCTGCCTCTTTGTCCTTTCCCTCTGACAGGAGGGGTTATGTTGACTGGTCCCTGGGTGGCACGGGAAAGAGTTAGGATGAGTGTACTCAATCCCAGATCCCGGGCCCAGATCTCTCTGCCAGAAGCAGCCTAGCGGTAGAATCTATGTTTGCTGATCCCAAGAGAGAAGCGGGTAGGGTTGAGTGTCCTCAGATCCAGAGCTTGGGTTTCTCTGCTAGGGGCCGTGGGTGAGCTGGAGAGAGGGTGAAGACAGCATTATTTTTATCTTCTATAATTATCATGTGTTTATTTATTGTCAAACCATACAGAGAAAGCAAATACATAAAGTGTGATATTTTTGTCCCACCCTCATTCCAAATGCTAGTATCAGAAACAAGCTTTAAAAATAACAAATTTTCAAGAATTTGGTAACTGAAAATGAGCTGAATCTCCAAAGATACTAAACTGTCTTTATATTATTCAGAAAAATACAATTACTTGCCTTAGTACTCGTAGTATTCATATCTGTCATGCCTGGTATTCAATACCAAGTCATGCAGTAAGGCAAACTTTGGCCAGATAAACTTTACTGAATCGTTTGAGCCATGAAAACCTTGGATTAATGCATCATCCCTAAGTGGCTCTTGTTTCTGTGTAGCAGGGACACTTTTGCTGCTGGTGATGTCAAGCCTCCTACTGTGGGAGAAAGCAGCAGCAATTCCTGCATGTCATACTGAAGATGGAAGCTGTAGGGAACCACTTGTGGAAACATTTAACAATGCCATTCATAGAGCTGAAAACATCCATAACCTTATCCATCAACTACATGAAGAATTTGTAAGTACATCAACCTTCTAGATCCTGAGACATTAAGCATCATGACCCAAATATCAGAAACTGTACCTTAATAGGCAAAGAACCTGCCAGCTACTGAAACATGGACAGGGTCAATTACACAGTTTCATGAAATTTCAATGAAACTAATGATTTTTCTATGTTTTTCTGAACAATAATAATAACCTATGGTAAAAACCTTTAAAATTTGCCCAGGGGAGGAACTCTCATTTCCTATCTTTGTATTCAGGGTCACTAATTCCTTTGGTCATATTCATTTAGCACATTGCAGATATTCACTCTAGAAGATGTGCATTGCAGTGATGCAGTGAAATATAAATTTGCAACACACGTAAACTAAAGCTTGGGAAGAGACACAAAAGAGAGGAAGAATGACAAAAACAGAGACAGGGAAGGAAGAAAGAAAGAAAAAGAAAGAAAGAAAAAAGAAAGAAAGAAAGAAAGAAAGAAAGAAAGAGAAAAAAGAAAAGAAAGAAATCTAGCCTTTCAAGAAGCTACCTACTGAGAAATGTGGTTTAAAGATCTTTTTATCATTTTTAAATTTATTTTTTTCACAATTTATTCATTATATATCCCAATTGAAGCCTCCTCCTTCAACTACTCCTGCCTCACCCCCTTCCTTCTTTTTCCATCCCCTACTGAAAGGGGAAGTTCTCTACTCTTGCTGTCTGCCCATAGTTTTTTAAGTCTCATCGGGACTGCCTGGATCCTTTTCCTCTGTGGCCTGGCAAGGTTGTATCATCAGGGGTGAGTGTGATCAAAGAGCAGTCAACTGAGTTCATACTAGAGGCAGCTCCTGTTCAGATCCACATGTAGGCTGCCAACTGGCCACATCTGAGCAAGGAGTCTAAGTCCTCTCCATGCATGGTCCTCAGTTGGTGCATCAGTTTCTGCAGGAACACCTGACCTCAGATCTTTAGTTTTGTTGGTCTCCTTGTGGGGTTCCTGTCCTTTCTATTTCCTTCTACTCCCATCCCTCTTTTCCTCCATAAGACTCTCTATGCTCTGCCCAAAGTTTGACCATGAGTCTCAGCATCTGCTTCAATCCCCTATTAGGTGAATCCTTTCAGAGGACCCACTATAGTAGGCTCCCATCCTGTTTCCTCTCATCCACCGCTTCTGGTGTCTGTCCTCAACATCTGTAGTCATCAGGGAAGTACAAATCAAAACAACTCTGAGATTCCATCTTACTCTGATCAGAATGTCTAAGATCAAAAACTCAGGTGACAACACATAATGGAGAGGATGTGGAGAAAGAGAACCCTCCTCCATTGCTGGTCAGAGTGCAAAATTGTACAAAAATTTCAGAAATCAACCTGGTGCTTTGTCAAAAAATTGGGAATAGCACTATCTCAAGATCCAGATATACCACTCCTAGGCATATATCCAAAAGATGCCCCACCATTCAATAAAGACATTTGATCAACAATGTTAATAGAAGCTTTATTTTTAATAGCCAGATATTGGAAACAACCTAGATGTCCCTCAATAAAGGAATGGATACAGAAATTGTGCTATAAAAACACAATGAAATATTACTGAACCATTAAAAACAAGGGAATTATGAAATTTGCAGGCAAATGTTACGAATTAGAAAAGATTATCTTGAGCGAGGTATCCTAGAAGCAGAAAGACACACTTATAAATGGACATTGGCAGTATAATATAAGATAGCTATCTACAGACCTAAAAAAGCTAAACACGACAGAGGATACTCATATTTCATTCAGAATGGCAAACAGCTTCAAAGATTTTTCAATGGCACAGTTTGTCCAAAATCTGTTCCTTTCTCCTGCTTACTACATGCCATTTCGAAAGAAAATACAAAGGAAAACAGACAAACATTTAGCATACTGAATATTAGGAAAATGTGTCTCTGTTTTTAACAAATATGACTTTATATTTGTTTCTTTATTGACTAGATGTTATTTTTTTCCCTTTCCATGACTCAGTTCTACCAAGAATTCTCTTCCAGTGAATTTTCTACTATTGTAAGTACATAACTTCTTTCCAGGTGCTTCCTAAAGGCAAGCTCATGTCGTTGATTGTACCTTTGAATAGAAAGCATTTTACAGTATTTTTAGGTTCTGTTCTTAACTGACAGTTTTTCAACTTCCTAACCTTCACAGTAATCTACTAAACTTCCAAAATTTGCTGATTATTAGAGGTAATTAAGCTATTCTAAATTCTATATATTTAAGCAATTTAATATTTCATTACTCATACAATGATTAATATGATACATAGCATTAATAATCTTTTATAATGTTGGTGACTGTAGTTTACTATAAAATAGTCTATTTTCATGAGGGATATCAAAACACAAAAAAATTTATTCCAAAACTATTATAATTTTTGTCTTACACAACTATGTATAAGCAGTGTTAAATTAATGAATTTATAATGTCTGGGTAAGTAAATATCATTTATTGACAGGAAATAGGATGATTGATAAATTTGATTTGTTTTTTGTGCTAAATACTACAGAAAGATGATAATTAAAACATTTAGTTTTGATAGATTTACTCCTTTCAATGTTGCCCTTGTAAATAGTACCTTTAAGGAAAAAGTGAGAAGATGGCAGAATAAGAAAAGAAGGACTTCAAAACTGAGAAGTCAAATTAAGTTGCAGTATATGAGACACAGTATAAGGTGATAGGCACTTTCTTTTTTTTTAATTTTTTTTTCTTATTAGTTACATTTTATTAACTCTGTATCCCAGCCTTGTCCCGATCCCTCATTCCCTCCCAGTCCCTCCCTCCCTCCCTCCTTTCCACCGTGCCCCTTGCCAAGTCCCCTAACAGGGGGGACCTCCTCCCCATTCATCTGATCCTGTTTTATCAGGTATCTTCAGGACTGGCTGCAAAGCTCTCCTCTGTGGCCTAACAGGACTGCTCCTCCCTTGGGGGTGGGGAGGCCAAAGAGCCAACAGGAACTCAATGATAGGCACTTTCTTAATTTGTTAATATCAGCTTTTTATTTGAATTACTTTTTTTTTTTTATAATTCATTCACATTGTATCCTGGCTGTAACCCCCTCATTGGTGTCATCTCAGATGTAGCCCATGGCAGCTGAGTCTCCAAATATCAGCTTTTATGAAGTATTTATTGTTGAAATTTACATAGCCATTGAAATGCTTGAATATTCTGGTCGTGAAGTCATTTAAACAATTTCTGAAACCTAACTGAACTTCTGTGCTCATTCTGAGGTTGACCGACTCTATAGGAGGGATCAAGCTGCTTTCATAGCCAGAACTTACTGCCATCCTAATATCACGAACCTTCCAGATAGGAGAACTGAACACACAAATATGAAAGTAAGTTTCCTTTATAGGTTTTTCACAAAACATCAGAGGTAATGCACAGGATTTGTGGTGCTGCTGAATATTTCAGGCGTTATTATAGATGGAGCAATCATACATGAAGAAAAATTAGAGGTTAAGCATAAAAACTATATTATGACCTTGATAGATTATAAATAAAATACCCTAAAAGAATATAGCAAATTCTTAGTCGTTATAGTGGGTGGCATTTTAGGGAGGACTTGACACTGAAAATTTATTTGCTGCGTTTTAGAGCCCTTTGAGCTAAACTGGCTATTTGTGATTATATACTCACTCCTATATAAGTGACGAAGTGTAGCTGTGTTTATTTATACGTTGCTAATGGGTTCCTCATGGCTGTATCCTACATTTCAGAATATTACCCCTTCTCTTCTTGATTTTCAAATTCTCCTGGTGCTATTTATTTTATATATATATTTTTTTACCTATCTCTTTATCTTTCTATGATTTTCTATGCCTCAACAAAAGCCAGATGGGCAGAATAATACTGTGAAATACTAGTATTGTTTCTTAGTATGCAACAATGCCCTAATTCATGGTGATAAGCTCTACATATCACAGTCAATCTATTTTGTGGTTGCTATCATCTCCTCATCCTGACTTCCTATAATATAATATAGGAATATGATTTAAGTGGGATATGATATGATAATAAGAGAAAATGAAGACAAAGATATGAAGGAAAATTTTCCTTAGAGGTACAATTTTGGTAGATATGTCAAAAAGTACTCTCTTAGCAATGTTATATTTGTACCTCACACACACACACAAAAAAAAAAAAAAAACAATGAGAGGTGGTATTATTTGAGTAACTAATAAAAAGAAATGGATGTTTTGAAAAGTTGTACAAGACATTTACGCTTGCCTGGAATTTAAGAATGCCAGTGGGCATTTCATCCTACTGCAGTTTTCAATCTAAATAAATGCTCCATTTATTGCCATCACCATTTGCCTGCTCCTTTCATCAATGTCATTTACATTTTCCTATTGTATGGATGGGATTTATTCTACTCTCATCTTTAACATCACTGGGGAAACTAGCAAACATCAATTGAGTCAATAGTTAAAATAATATACGAGCATTAAATACTAGAGAAGCAAAATTCTGTTGTGATTTCCACTGATTGTATTATTAAAGAAATGTTCTCTCATAATTATTCACATATGCATGCTGATAAATATACTGCTTTTTCAGAGGCAAAGGAAAAAGCACAAAAAGGAGTACCACACTCTCTTCATTGTGTCTCTGTTCTAATTTCTTAAATTTACCTAGAAATCCTAAATGTGTGCGTTAATGAATGGCTGACTTTTTGGTGTGTGTGAATATCCGAGTGAAAGTGAATCGAGCCACTTTCCTTGGTTAGAGCCATCTATATTTCACGAGTCAGATATTATTGGCACCTATTGAGTCCCGTAAGACTTGTTTTAGTGATTGATAGATAAGCAACCAAATAATATATATCTGATAACAGAGAAAGCTGTTTGAATTTAACAGGGAGATCATAACATGATGTGCTATCTCAGAAAAATACTCATTTATAAGCTTTATTTTGTAGACAATAGACAAATGTTTAAATTTTTCATTCCACACCATGTAATATCTATACTACATGTGTCATATATACAAAATTAAAAAACAGGTTTCAGTTTAGCTTCTTCACATGAATGTAACATGCAACATCCTGCTTTACTGAAATCATTTTAATGCAATAAAATAATGTTTCTATTGTGTTTGCTCAGACCAAAAAATATGTAAAAATGATGATCAATTTTGTGGGTGCCTGGATCAACCCTCTCTACCATCTGGTGGTTGAACTGAGTGCCATGGAAGGGGTTCCTGAAACTATCCTTTCAAAAGCCAATGAGATCGAAGAGAACAACAGAGACATCCTGGATGACCTTAGATGGATACTCACCAAGGTGAGAAATTTTATGAATATTCTGATTCATAAAACAGATGGGTTCTAAATATTAGGGGAAAAAATCAGAAATACCTCATCTTTCCTGAGTGAAACAGAAATCTGATTTTGTGAACAAGCTTTTTGAAAGACAGTGGTTCTCAACCTGTGGGTCATGACTCCTTTGAGGTCAAAAGACTGTGTATGCCACAGTGATTAAATATTCAAACATCCTGCATATCAGATGTTTCCATTATGTTTAATTATAGTAGCAAAATAACAGTTACGAAGTAGCAGTTTTATGGTTGATGGTTACCACAGCATGAGGAACTGCATTAAAGGCTCACAACATTGGAATAGTTGAGAAATGCTGCCCTAAGAAGTTGCTGGCAGCTCCAACCCTCAGAGATGCTCATTGTCAACAAGCACCCTGGGAAAGAGATTGAAACACAGCTGTTACTCTTAGAGACTTAGAGGACACCTTTTCTGGACAGAGTGAAAAGATCTCAGCTCCTTCTATCATAGTCATCTCTTGGCTCTGCAAATTAAATCACCTTTTGATACTCATTATATGTGAGCTTTTCATATATAAACGTCACGAAAAAAATTGGATGTGATTGAAATGTATAAAAGAATAAGGGTGTATATCAGCTTCCGTGAAATACAAAGGACGTGCAAGAGTCTTCTGAGTGAAAAAGTGACAATAGCTCTCCAAATGTCCCAGAGTCGAACAGAAATTTCCTACTTCTCTGCTTCTGAAGGGGCATAGCTCCTCTGCGATTCTATTATGTAATGTTCTAGCATGCAATGTAATGCAACTTCAGAGGAGTCTTGATCATACTTTTTAAAATACAAACTGCTTGAGGGTCTCCTGGCCTAGATAAATGAATACAAGTTACTTTGATGGAAGCAGTCCGTTTCTGAAGGTGTTTCTCTGATTGGCCGTCTAAGAAACAAGGAAAGGGGAACACTAACAATCTACTCAACAAGTAACTTACTCTCATTTTGCTTTATAGGCCTATCCTACAGCAAGGATGAAGGAAGGCTTCCCTACCTGGCAATATCTCCCGGTTTTAAAATCAAATAACAAATACTATAAATTTTTGGCTATTTTTAACCTTTCCAATTGCCTAAAAACTTGTATATCCTACACTATATATCATATCAGAGATTTGAAGTGTTTAATAACAGGGGAAGGTTGCTAAGTGCACATCTACCTTGTCTGCTTTGGAGGAGGTCCATGACAGCCCATTGCTGAGAAGTTTCTTGTAATTTTATACCTTGAATGTATTTGTGGGTGTAACATGTCTCTCTTTTCATAATAAAAACCATTCTCCTTAGAAATATTCGTATCTAAAATCCTATTTTTTGTTTGCTAAATAGAATGCCAACAAAGTTAGCTTGCCCCTACCAAATTTATCGCAAACAATAGATGTTGGACATGCAAGTAAATTTACAGTTCATTTCAGTTTACTCAGAATATCACTTCACATAAAAGTAATAGAAGTCAAGTTATTATAATCAAAGTCTAAACAAATTTATATATAACAAGAAATACAAATTTCATTATTATTCATGAAATCCAAACTGTCCTGAGGAAACAAGGTTCACAGTGAGTGAAAGCACAGCCAAGCCAATACAACTGATATTTAAGTCCACAGCCTCAGGAGGATTTGGAGGGAGAGTGGCATGGAGTGGGTGTGGTAAAGACACAGTGAATTGATGTGTGAAATTTCCAAAGAATTAATTTTTAAAACGTAAAAATTGTTTTAGGATGCAAATACCAGTTAGTCAAGACCCTTAGTAAGCAGAGCACGGGCTGACACTTACACGAACTCCATTGAATGTTTCTTGATCACTTTTCCAGTTGGCCTTGCTAGACCATAGAGGAAGAGGATGCAGACAGTCCTAATGGAGGGACAGATGGTAGGACATCATGACTCCTCATTTCAATGACTATGGGACGTGCCTTGGGGGAAAAGGATGGGACCAGGAGGAGATGAGGGAAACAGTTACAATAGGGATACAAATTGAATAAATTTTAACAATAACAGTCTCTTTGCAAGATCTGCCCAGTGGTACAATAATAACATGAATATCATGAGATTAACTAACAACTTCCTGGTTAGGTTTAATGGCTACTCTTTATATATGATTGAACCCTTACTATCAAAACCCCAAAACTGTGGCTAGACAGGTCATGTTCTTAGGGAAGAACCTAGTAGAATTTTTCTAATAATGACACATAATATTGATCTAACTCCCAATGACTTATTGTTATATGCCCAGGTTAGCACATCTCTCAGCCAAATAAGTTCATATTGAATGTAAGGCTTTAAAATTATTTTCAGAGTATAGATATTAAATATCATTTTATTGACCAAGTCTTACCAGTACTAAGAATTATGTAATTTAAATTGTAATGTGCACATTGCTATAATTGCATTAAATCCTACACTTCAAATACAGTTTGATTAAAGAACAAGATACATTGATAATTGAAATGGCTATTCTGAAGCATTCTCCAACCAAGGCAAGAACTCTTAAGTTTAAATCTAGTGTTTAATATGCTCTATATATGTAAGTAAATATAGGAACTTTGAATGGTCTTAGATTACAGAGAAGTCTTAACAAAGCCATCAAGATAATACGGATATATTATGACTTGTGGTTTCAAATACCACAGTAGAGATATTAAAATACTTATTCAAATTAAAATGTAAGAAGTCAAGTTCCTTAGTTTTCTGAAATTTATTCCACAAGCTAATGCCATTCCAATATCAGACAATAGTGACACTTCACTTTATATCATCTTGTACAAAAATTGATGAAGATGAATCCATATGGTTCTGAGTTATAATGAAGCTTCATGATATAATAAGCTAAGAAATAAAAAGTCCAGTGTCAGAAATGGTGTTTCTTTTGTAGTTGTTCTGTGAATAACTATAGATTAAAAAAAATTAAAGCCTACTGCCAATTTTCTTGGTACCTTCAATAATGGAATTGTAAGCATATTTGTGAAGATACAAATGCTTATGTCATGAGCATGGAGTAATTAAGGTGGGACAGATCTGGATGCTTTATCACTAGTGGAAAAATTTATACATCCATCACTAAAATGTTATTTATATTTAATTATTCTGAATGCATCCATCCACATTCTAATCTTCTGAAAATAAAACAGATTAATAGTACAATATTTCTCCCTAACAATTTTCAAAAATGCCCAATAAGCAGCAAGATTCCACTTCTATATAAAAATTATTGATCGCAATCACAATTCATTTGTATAGTCACAAAAAGAAAAGAAAATATTGGGAACTGTTTTAAGGCACTAGATTCCTATTATTGGTGTTCCAAATCCTGAAGGATACAGTTACCACAAATGGGACATTTAAAAAAGAACTTTATGTTATCAGTGGCTGTTGTGAAGGGTGTAGTTTCCTTAATTTCTTTCTCAGCCATTTTGTCTTTGGAATACAGGAGGGCTTCCGAAGGTTTTCTTTTGTTTCTGTCTTTGTTTTTTTAATTTTGTATCGAGCCACTATGCTGAAGGTGTTTATCAGCTGAAGAAGTTCTCTGGTTCATTTTTTGTGGTCACTCATTTATACTATCATATCATCTGCAAATAGTCATACTTTGACTTCTCCCTTTCCTATTTGTATCCCCTTGATCTCCTTTAGTTGTCAAGCTAGGAATTCAAGTGCTATGTTGAAGAGATATGGAGAAACTTAGCAGCCTTGCTTTATCCCTGATTTCAGTGGGATTGCTTTAAGTTTCTCTCTGTTTAGTTTGATGTTGACTATAGGCTTGCTGTATATTGTTTTTACTATGTTTAGGTATGTGCCTTGTATCCCTGCTCTCTCCAAGACTTTAAACATGAATGGATGTTGGATTTTGTCAAATGCTTTTTCAGCTTCTAAGGAGATGATCATGTGTATTTTCTCCTTCAGTTTGTTTATATAATGGATTACATTGATGGATTCCCATGAATTGAACTACACCTGCATGGCTGAGATGAAGGCTACTTGGTCATGATGGATGATATCTTTGATGTGTCCTTGTATTTGATTGATACTCAAACATTTTATTGAGTATTTTTGCATCAATGTTCATAAGAGAGATAGGTCTGAAGTACTCTTTATTTGTTGGGCTTTCCTGGGGTTTAAGTATCAAAGTGACTGTGTGTGGCTTCATAGAATGGGTTTGGTAGTGTTCCTTCTGTTTCTATTTTGTGGAATAGTTTTCAGACAATTGGAGTTAGCTCTTCTTAGAAGGTCTGATAGAGTTCTGCACTGAAACCATTTGGCCCTGAGCTTTTTTTTTCAAGGGAGACTGTTGAAGACTGCTTCTATTTCCTTAGGGGATATAGTACTATTAAATCTATTTACCTGATGGTGATTTAATTTTGGTAAATAGAATCTATCAAGAAAATTGTCCATTTCATTTAGGTTTTCAAATTTTGTGTCATATACTCTTTTGTAGTAAGAACTAATGATTGTTTGGAATCCCTCAGTGTCTGTTGTTATGTCCCCCTTTTCCTTTCTGATTTTGCTGATTTAGATAGTTTCTCTCTGCCTTTTAGTTAGTTGGCTAAGGGTTTGTCTATCTTGTTGATTTTCTCAAAGAACCAGTTCTTGGTTTCATTGATTTTTTGAATTATTTTGTTTTTTTCTAATTGATTTACTTCAGCCATGAGCTTGAGTATTTCCAGCTGTGTACTCCTGTTGAGTGTGTCTGGTTTTTTTCTTTTTTTTACTGTTTTATTAATTACACTTTATTCACCCCTATAAGCCCCTCCCTTTTTCCCTCCAAGTACCACCCTTCCTCCCCTTCTTCACGCATGCCCCTCCCCAAGTCCACTGATAGTGGAGATCCTCCTCTACTTCCTTCTGATCTTAGTCTACCAGATCACATTAGGAGTGGCTGCATTGTCATATTCCGTGGCCGGTAAGGCTGCTCTCCCCTCGGGGGAAGGTGATCAAAGAGCAGGCCAAGCAGTTCATGTCAGAGGCAGTCCCTCTTCCCATTATAATGTAACCCACTTGGACACTAAACTGCCATGGACTACATCTGTGCAGGGGTTCTAGGTTATCTCCATGCCTGGTACTTGGTTGGAGTATGAGTCTCTGGGAAGACCCCTGTGTTCAAATTTTCTGGTTCTGTTGCTCTCCTTGTGGGGTTCTTCTCCAGATCTTACTATTTCCCACTTCTTACATAAGATTCCATGCACTCTGCCCAACAGTTGGCCATAAGTCTCAGCGTCTGCTTTAATAGTCTGCAGGGCAGAGCCTTTCAGAGGCCATGTGGCAGTCTCCTAGTGCTTTCATGTGAGCCCTTAAGTTGCTTGTATGAGATGTTTCAAATTTCTTCCTGAAGTCACTTACTGCAATGAATTTTCTCTTAGCACTGCTTTCATTTTCAAATAGTTCTTTCACTTGATTGGTCAGAGTCACACTAAGGTACTTGACATGAACTCAGTGGCAGGCTCTTGGAACACCCCCCTCCCCAACCTCAGAGGGGAGCAGCCTTGCCATACCACAGAGGAGGATAATGCAATATGTCCTGATGAGACCTGATAAGCCAGAGTCAGATGGAAGAAGAGGAGGACCTTCCCTATCAGTGGACTTGGAGAGTGGCATAAGAAGAGATCAGGAGGGGAGGATGGCATTGGGAGGGTTTGACGGAGGACAACACACCTAGGACACAAAGTGAATAAAGTGTAAGTAATATAAAAAATAAAAACTTAATTAAAAAAGAAAGGAACATTTATGAAATAACTAAACAATGTGATTTTTTTTAAATATTCTGGATATTAGCTCTCTGTCAGATATGTCAGGGTATGTGAAGATCCTTACCCAGTCTGGAGCCTGTCCTTTTGTTCTGATGACAGTGTCCTTTGCTTTACAGAATTTTTCAGTTTCATGAGGCTCCATTTAGTAATTGTTGATCTTAGAGCCTGTGCTGTTGGTGTTCTGTTCAGGAAGTTGTCTCCTGTGCCAAAGAGTTCAAGACACTTCCGCACTTTTTCTTCTAAGAATTTAAAAAGCAACAAATCAAGTAATCCAATTAAAAAATGGGGTACAGAGCTGACCAGAGTAGTCTCAATAGAAGAATATCAGATGATAGAGAAACACTTAAAGAAATGATCAAATCCTTAGTCATCAGGGAAATGCAAGTCAAAACAACCAGAATTTCCACCATA